CAGCAGCAGCAGCAGCAGCAGCAGCAGCAGCAGCAGCAGCAGCAGCAGCAGCAGCAGCAGCAGCAGCCAGGCTTTCCATTTTTGTTCCCATTATGAAATGAAAACAGCACCCTGCTGTTACAGCTGACTCCTGGCAAAAAAAAAAAAAAACATTTAAAGGAAGAGCAAACTTTTTAAGTGGCTGTCTGGCCAGTTATAATTTGAAATTGCACTCCTTCTGGAAATCTGCATCCAGGGCTGCTCCAGTTTCACAAGTGGAAACAAGAAACACAAACGTCACGTAGGACAGTGATAACTTCAGCGTGTTGAGCCTGATGTTGGGATATGGGGGAAAAACATACTCCAAAAAAGTTCTCTACCTCAATTTAAAAAAAAATAAGAAATTGTAAAAAACAGTTGTGATTTAATTCCTGTCTTTCATTTCCGGTTTCTTCCAGGAACCACCGTCATGAGAATGACCGCGTTCGACGCCGACGACCCCGCCACAGACAACGCAGCGTTGCGCTACAACATCGTCAAACAGTCGCCCGACAAACCGTCTCCTAACATGTTCTACATCGACGCAGAGAAAGGCGACATCGTCACCGTCATCTCCCCGAAGTTACTGGACAGAGAGGTAGGCTAGCTCCACCGATCCACCTGTGTGTTTGAGTTTTCTGGCTAGCAAGATGTTAGCATCTCCTTGTTGTAGCCTCATCCAAACTATTCCAGGTCAAATTCAAGCACTTTGAGACTCATTTTTCAGTCTTAAACGTTCGGCTAAAAGGTTTGGCTATTTAAAACACGTTTTGTTTTTTATGCCTGGTTCATTTTTGATCATCTTTTGGAAAAGTCTCCCTATTTCAAGAAACCCTTTTGGTTTTGAGTTAGCGTTGAGCTAAATCAGACCAATTCCTTTTTTTTTATTTTCAGCAATTCTTCCTCAAACATTTAACCTTTTTTTAACTCCCTTTTTAAAAAATAAACAACTGTTCATCTGCCCTATTAATACTGTTGGTTTCTAAAGCATTTTTTCCAGCCTGTTGTGACTGATTGAAGCACATTTAGAGCCAAACTTTGAAATCTAAGCACTTTCAGGGCTGTTAAGCACCAATCATCACCTGTGGCTTTAATAAGGGAAGTGCATGTGACACGATTCCGACACGTTCTGGCGTGCCTGCTGAGTGTCTCTCCATTTCCACATCTGAGTGGAGCGAGACAGCAGGATGATTGCTTTTTCAGGGGGATGACGAATACCGAGGCATCGATTGGATCCGCTGGTGGAAAAGGAATATTAGCCGTTGTCAGACACTTAGCGCATAGTTTAATTGAGGTGATACACACTCCCGCGTCGGCTCGGGTGGTGTCCAACAAGCCTAGCTGAAAACCTCCCATCCGGAACTACTGGAAGCGTGGCAGCTAACTGCCCTGACGAGACGCTCCCAGAGCTACAGTAAACTGTCTAATCGAGACGTAATTGAAATGAGATGTAATCAATGCTGGGAGAGCACAGAGTGGGCGCTGGTTTTCTTTTTTTTTTTGGGTTTTTTTTGTGTGTGTGTTGATTTAGAGACTCAATCAACCAGGAGAAGTGCGATGCCTGTTGTGGTCCCCCCCTCCTCTATAATAGAAGAGCGAGAGGTTTCAGCTTATCAATTCCGGGGAAATTCCAAGCCCTTCTCCCCGCAGCCAGGATTTACTGCAGCCAATAACAGGCTGGGGTTCGAATATGCAGTTGAATGCCTTCGGACCGAGGCATACAGCCAAATGGCATGTTGGTTTGTGGCCTCGATAAATCTGAAGAGGCAGATACGGCCTTTTGCTTTATATTTTTATTTTCCTCCTTTGACTGACGCAGACCTGAGATCGGAGTCACCGCGACTGGGCTGTTTGTCATCCCGTGGACGACCATAAAATAAAATAGTCTAAACTGTTTGTTTTGAGTGCAGGCAGTGAGTTAAATAAGCCACTCAAAGATTCCGGCAAAGTTGTCGTCAGTTCTAGTTTTGATTGAGCAAATAAAAGGTTTGAGAGCTCAATAATGACAGGCCGCGCACCAGTGTTAGAGTCTGTTGTTAACTTGTCAATATTAAAACTTTACCTTTTCGAAACATACCTGTTTGATCGGCCTCGGAACGCCACTCATTTGACTGACTTTCCACTCGCAGGTGCAGCTCAAGTTATCGCTCCCTTAACTCTATAGCAATCAAACAACTGCGCTGCAAAATTAGCATAGCTAGCTCACAACATCACAGGAATGTTTTGACTGTCGTCGTTTCCTCACACAGAAAAAACAAAGTCAAAAGAGCGAGAAGACAAATAAACAAGAATGCCAAACATTGCATTTTTTTTTTTTCTGAATCTTTAAGATGCGAGTCAGGTGAAGTTTTAAGTGTCTTTGGATGGACACCTCCCCCGTCGTCTCAGGGAGACGGAAAGCAATCCGGAGAAAATTGGAAAATCAATTTTGTCACATTGAAATCAGTTTGATTTTCCCTCCAGTGCTTTCTCCGAGGCGTAAAATCCCGTCTTGATATGGACATTTATTCCAGCTCCCTGTTTTTCTCCCCACTTTGCCTTCAGACACGTCTTGCCGCGCTGCGTTATATTTCTGTGCCGCGCTGCTGGATCAATGGCAGGCTGTAATTTCTGACAGCTAATATTACCCACGGCATAGAGCTATCTTCACAAGTTGGACGCTGCACGTCGTCCTCTTGATGTGAGGGGAGGAAAAGCTCCATCATCAGAATCTGATCAGAATGAACAAGTCCACGTCACAACAATGTTCCAAAAGGACTTCATCTTCACCAGAACCTTCTCTGAACGCAGCAGATCACGTCGATGAGAAGATCAGAGATTGAAAATACTGTGTATTTAATGTTGGAATTACAGTTTTTCATTCGAAGTGTTAGATCAGTGGCTCAGTGGGTAGTGCAGTTGTTAGGCTTTAATTCCAGACTTCACCCAGAACAGCGCTCCTGCAGAACCTTTACCATTAGACCAGAAAGGATAAAAGTTCTCCCTCATCTTGAGGCTTATTTAACACTGGATCTTTTAAAACTTTAAAATTAAAAAAATAGTTTTTTTGGAAAAATGACCAAACCATTTGAAAATCTAAGAAGGTTATGTTTGTAGGGCTCTTAAAAGAACATGAACTTTAAATGTTGGGTTCAAGTTCCCATTCCTGGTAATAAGTGGCGCTCCGTGAAAGACTCTCAAGGCTTTTCTGAAAAAGTTCCTATGTTTTTGAGTTCGATTGTAGAGCAAACAACATGTTCTGGGTTTTTGGGGGGTTTTTTGTGTTTAGTTTTGTTTTCCATTCATCCAGATTTGTGATGAGCAGAGATGTGTTTAGTTTTGGTTTTTATTCATCCAGATTTGTGATGAGCAGAGAACGACCCCAGAGCTAATGACGCACTGAGTAAGAAAAATGAAAGGCCAGCGCCGAGGTTATTGGGTTGCTGTTACGGGACAGTGATGGAGTGATCACAGTCCCAAGACATGCACACACACACACACACACACACACACACACACACACACGCGCTCACACTAATCATTGTAATCTATTTTTGTCTATGTAGTATCCACGTGCGAGCAGCTCGTAACCAGAGAGGACAGACGGCTAATGGCTGTGTGACTTTCTGACTCTAATGCTCCGCGGCCAATCTGGGAGCTGTCACTGAATGGGGGGGGGGGGGGGGGAGCAATCGATAGAGGGGGCCAATCCCGCCAACCCCCCCCCCCCCCCCACCCCCCCCCTGCTGAGACGTTAGCGCAGTGCTTCTCAAATAGTGGGGCGGGCCCCCCGGTGGGGGCATGAGGGGCTTCCAATGGAACATACGTGTACCACTGCTGTCATGCCTGAATGATATGAATGTGAAAACATTTCTGTCCCCGGGGGGGGGGGGGGGGGGGAGAAAATATTGAAAACCATGTGTTTTTATACCATGTTTTTCTGACTTTTGAAGAAAATTTACAGCCGAGCATTAGCGCATGCTAACAGACGCAAACTGCCAATCGTGACTATTTTTAGTTGTTGTAACACCTGTGGAACAGTCGGTGATCTGGTCCTGGGTTCTGCCAGTCCGTGTGTCCAGTTGTTCCTGAACATGACGGCCAATCCAATAATTTAGTCCGTGTATCCAGCCAATCAGAGAAAGGCCACGGTCAGTCCATGTGTTTGTCTCCTCATTCTGGTTCTGTCAGGAAGGTAGGGCCTCACGAAATTTGTGAATTGTCAAAAAAAAAAAAAAAGAAAAACACCATAACAGGAGGTAATGATGGCCAAAAGTAAAAGTGAGCAAATATTTCTCTGCTGTGTGTTAACCCTGTCAGCGCTGGGAGCTCAGCCTGACTAATCGCTTATTTGGCTTGGAGTGTTTTCACGCCTGTAAATCCTGATGAAAGTCAACTCCTGCTCCAACAGGTTTTACTCTTTGGGGTGGGGTGGTGGAGGGGGGGTGAAGCTACATTAATTTCCTCCATTTAAATAGTTGTGATTCACACGCCGACCTTTGCTTGTTTCGCCTTCGGCCCGTGAGTTGCGTCGTTTTTTTTTTTTTTTTTCTGCTCGTTTTCATTTTCTATTATTTTCCCCTCTCCGTTGTTTACCCTGCCATGTTGTTTGTCTTTCTATTTTTCTGTCAGCCTCACCTCCCTTTCCCTGTCAACACTTCACTCTGGACATCCAATTACTGGCAGGTCGTAACACAGTGATTCCATTCAGAGCGGTGCCATTCAGCGCGGGCCTCAAACAGCTATTCAAATTACATCCTTCGCTGCCTTCAGAGTTGTCTCTCTGCAAAATGTTGTTTTCAAACATTTCCGGGGCCAGCGCCTAATCTGATCCCGGGGACATAATTGAATGTCAGTCGTCACATAAAGATGTTTTCCTCTCTTCAATTAGCGTCTCGTTTTCTCGTGTCATTTCCAGCGACACAAAGCAGCCAGAGAAATATTTACTCCTCCCAGGTAGAGGCCACACACACACACACACACACACACAGAGAGGAAGTTATTATATTATGTCATTTATATGCAAATAATATAGCACAGGGACACATTGATAAGATTTCATTACAGCAGATTTGATGAGCACTTCAGTTTATAAACTCCTTTTCATTCCTCCATTATGACCACCAGATTGAAAAGTTACAGGTAGATGAGCGGCGTGCAGCGAAACACAGGCAGAAGTGGACACGGGTGGAGTTCGTCAGGACGGAGAAAAGGGAAACAGGACGGAGTGACGCGGTTCGTTGATGGAGAAATTAAAAATAAAGGACAAGTTTTGGTATAAAAATATGGGGTAAACAGGACGATAAATACTCCATAAAAAGATAAAAATATTTCATAAATGAGATGTAAATTTGAATACTTACAATTATACTTACTGCGTATCTAACATATCAAGCTGAAACAGAAAGTGAGCAGAGCTTTTACCACATTGGTGCCCACTGGGCCCCTGTGCCAAACCTTTGGTAATTTGAACAGAACAACTTGACGGGTTGATGAAAATCTGATGATGCCTAAAAAACTTCCCATTGACGGGTTGATGAAAATCTGATGATGGTGAAAAATATATCTTTAAACTTTTCAGCATTTTGATTCTTAAAAAAAATCAAACAATAGTTGTCG